AAAAAAAAAAACTTATATTTTGTAAAAAGCTTATATTATATGAAGCTTATATTATAGCAGCATACAGAAAGTTAATTTAAAAATTAACAAATATTGCCCAGTGTGGTGGCTTACACCTATAATCGCAGCACTTTGGAGTCTGAGGTGGGAGGATCACTTGAGCCCAGAAGGTCAAAACCAGCCTGGGAAATATAGAAAGACCCCATCTCTGAAAAAAAAAAAAAAAAAAAAAAAAGTTTTTAAAATTAGCCTGGCATGGTGGTGCACGTCTGTAGTCCCAGCTACTCAGGAGGCTGAGTTGAGAGGATCACTTGGCCCCTGGAGGTCAAGGCTGCAGTGTGCAGTGATTGTACCACTAAACTCCAGCCTGCATGACAGAGTGAGAGCCTGTCTCAAAAAAATTAATTAATTAAAATTTAAAGAATCTGTGCTCTGAGGAAAATACAGCAGGTTAGAGGGTTAGAGAATTACTTTAAGGGAGCTAGTTTTGTAGGCCCATTTTCTAAGGAAGTGACACTTGGGCAGTGATGTGAAGGCTGAGAAGAGTCACTTTGTAAGGCTCTCAGAAGAGGGCATTGTAGGGACAGGGAGTAGACAGTATAAAGATCTTAGCCAGAGCAGTTAGTTTGCTGGAGAAACAACAAAAAGGGCTGCTCTCGGAACAGTATAAGGGAGTTGGGTTTGGATTTGGTGATGGAGTTGGAGGGGTTAGGGGGGCTGAGTAATGCAGTGCCTGGCAAGGAATTTAGATCACCTTCTGAGTATAATGAAACCATGGAGCATTTTATGCAGAGGAGCTAATCTGAGGAATGTTTTAGAAAGAGCGTTCTGACATGGAAGGGGAAATAGAAGCAGAAAAGCCAGTTAGGAGACTGTGGCAGTTGGACAGGTAAGGCATGGTGGTGGCTTGACACCGTGGTAGTGCTGGAAGTGGTGACAAATAGTGGAATTTAGGACATGGCTTGAAGCAGAGCTGACAGGACTTGCTTATGGGTTGGATATGGAAGATGAGGGAGAAGGAAGAGCATGGATGGCTCCTGAGGTGTGACGGGGAGCAGTTGGGTAGACAGTGATGTCTTTAGCTGAGAAGACTGGAAGAGGGGAAATATGGAAATAGGAAAAATAATTCTGTTTTTAGAGAGGAGTTGGCAAATCCTCTGCCAGTACTAGAGAAAAAAGACAAGCATGTCTGTTCCTTCATTCAAATGACAGTTACTGAGCACCAGTTACTAGGTGCTAAGCACTGTGCTATGTTCATATCATTGAAAGAGAAAATAGAAAAGATTCATATCCTCAAAGAACTCAAAGCTAAATAGGTGGCAATGAGCTGCTAAATGGTAAGAACAGACTTGCCAAATTTGTGTTGCCACTGGAATGCAGAAAGAAAGCTCAGGAGACAGTAGTGCAGGCAGTACCTTCTGGAGCCTAGGATTGAGGGTCTGGGCTGGATAGCAAGAGCAAGGGGTGACCAACATGGCAGTGATTGTTAAAGTCACTGGAAAAAAAGGAGACCACTAAGGAAAGAGTGGCAGTAAGAAAGGGACCGAGGAGGGGACTCTGCCTGAGGAATACTGAGACTTACAGGGGAAAAATGTGAGCAAAGGCGATGAAGGTACACCTTGAAAAATGGAAGAGAACCAAAAGAAGGTGGCATTTTGGAAGCCAAAGAAAGAATTTCAAGGCAAAAGTCATGATCAGTAGTTTAAAGGTACTATGGAGAATTCAAGTTACATAAGGTAGGAAATGTCCTTTGGATTTGGCCATTAGGAAGAAAGACATTGCCATAGTATGAATAGATCTGGGAAGTCGGGGCAGAAGTCAAATTGCAGTGAGCTGAGGAATGAATGGAGAGTGGCATGTACAGAGACACTCTGCTTGCTGCCTGCTTTAGGAAATGGATTTTGAAAAAGAGTATGGCAGGAAAAATGCACTGACTGGATAAAAGAGACTGGAGACCACTGTAGGCTCCTCTTTTGAGAACTTCTGCTGAATTTACTTAAATAACTGTTGCTCTATTTTATATTCTTACATCCTTTATTCAGTAGTTCTCAACCAGAGTCAATTTTGCCCTAGGGGACATTTGGTGAGGTCAAGAAATTTAGCTGTAGAGAAAGAAGAAGAGACAACAGTTAGTGGGAGACTGAAAGTTCAGAAGGGTGTTATTTTATTTTGTGGCTTTGTTTTGTTAAGATTGGAGAGACTGAGCATGTTTGGGGCCTGACATGAATGAGGGAGAGAAGAGATAATTGATGGAATTAGATCCACAAAAGAATGCGAAAGAGAAGTCCAAGACAGAAGGTAGAAGACCTCTTCCTATGAGTTTGTAGAAAAGGATGTAAGACACAGAGAGACAAACCTCACATGTTCTCACTTAACTGTGGGAGCTAAACTTAACTGAACTTCTGGAGATAGAGAGTAGAAGGATGGTTACCAGAGGCTGGGAAGAGTAGTAATGATTGTGGGAGTGGGGTTGGTTAATGAGTCCAAAAAATTTTGGGAAGACTGAATAAGACCTGGCGTTTGCTAGCACAACAGGGTGACTGTAGTAAAAAATAATTTAATTGGCCGGGCCCGGTAGCTCATGCCTTTAATCCTAGCACTTTGGGAGGCCAGGGCAGGTGGATCACCTGAGCTCAGGAGTTCTAGACCAGCCTGGACAACACACTGAAACCCCTCTCTACTAAAATACAAAAAATTAGCCTGTCATGGCGGCATGTGCCTGTAATCCCAGCTACTCGGGAGGCTGAGGCAGGAGAATCACTTGAACCCGGGAGGTGCAGATTGCAGTGAGCCAAGATTGTGCCACTGCACTCCACCCTGGGCAACAGAGCAAGACTGCATCTCAAAAAAGCAAACAAATAAATAAGTGAATATAATAATTTAATCATACATTTAAAAATAGCCAGAAGAGTATAACTGGATTGTTTGAAACCAAAAGTATGGGCACTGGAGGGGATGGATACCCCATTTTCCCTGATGTGGTTATTGTGCATTGCATGCCTATATCAAAGTATCTCATGTAACCCATAAATATACATGCCTAATATGCACCTACAAAAATTAAAGTAATTTTTAAAAAGAAAAGAAAAGGACGTGAGAATATAAGTACGTTTTTAGCTGGCTTTTAGGTGGTTCATGTAAGAACTGTCAAGCGAGGGTGAGAAGATCAGCAGCTTGGAGGGTTGAAAAGGATGAAGATTTAGAATAGCAAATGGGAGGAATTAGTGAGGAAACCAGCGAGAAGCCTGCAAAAGGATGTTCAAGCAGAGTGGAAGCTTGAAGTTTATAGCAGCATCAACCTACACAGTGGAGTATGTTTTGTTTTGTTTTGTTTTGTTTTGTTTTTTTCAGAAGACCTCAGCTGCCAAGTAATAAGAACAGAGAAAATAAATGATAAGATTGAGCCAGAGATTGAGGTTTCCAGAGAAGGTTCAACAGAAGAACTAGTCAGGGAGGTTCAAAATGTTTCTGGGAGAGCAGATGAATAATTATGATAGTAACATCATAATTATTATGGTAATATTTATCAAATGCTTGCTCTGTGGCCTGTCGCTTTCTAAACGTGATGTGTGCATCAAATTGTTTAATTCTTATA